GCGCACGCGAGTGTGTGTGTGTGTGTGTGTATGTGTGTGTGTGTGTGTGTGTGTGTGTGTGTGAGAGAGAGAGAGAGCGCGTGCGTGCGTCAGGGGGGCAAGTGGATGCTGGGGTGAGAAGGTGGTGTCGATGGTGAGGAAGAGGCTGAGGCTGCGTGCAGTGGGGGACTGCCGTTGGACGGTCTGCAGGGTGACTGATGATGGGCGCGGACGAGGTGCAATGGGCGCTGCGGCAGCAGTTTAGTGGTTCCTCTGAGCCTGCAAGCCGCGCGCCACCACCACTCAACCCGCTGTCGCCGCGTCCGCCAACGTCTGCTTCGCAATCCAGAAATGAGGAGCGCCCACTGGCCCTTGCAAGCTCTGTCAACAACTCTCCAGGCAATCCCCCGCCCACCTGCCCGCACAGATGCCGCCGCCTGCCGCGCCGCCGCCGCCTCCAACTCCGCGGCCGCCGGCCCCTCGTCATCCGACCCCTCCTCCGGCTGCCGGCGCTGCTGCTGCTGCTGCTGCTGCTGCCGCTGCACCTCCTGGCGGCCCTGGGACCCGCCCAAGGCGGCGACGGCGGCGGTGTCAACGGCTTCTGACAGCAGCGCCTCGACCTCTGCGGCCATTGCGACAAACTGGCTGACAAACGGCAGCAGGTGCATGTTCTTGATGCCTAGCGGGGGGGGGGGTGTAGAGGGGCGGCAGGGTCGGGGCACCGACGTGTTTCCGGCGATGCTGGGCCCCAGCTTGCACGCGGCCGGCGAGAGGCCCAGACAGTGGCCTCGGATACGAAAGAGGTGCTGGGAGACCACGAAGACGCGGCATTGAGGGATGCGCGCTCGTGCACGGCAGCGGCTCTCGCTTCGCGCGCGTGTGTGCACACGCGCGGCACGCCATGGACTCAGCCAGAGGGAAACGCGGCACCGGCCCGCACGCACAAGAGAGCCTGGGCGGCCCGCAGCAATGGGCCCGCCACGCCGAACGGCTCACCGCCCTGCAGGCCGATTTTGGAGCGCCCGTCGTACGCGTCCACGGCCGCGGCCTGCGCCGACACGAACGCGGCCCAGTGCGCTGTAAGCCGCTGCTCCGCGGCCGCAAGGTGGCCGCCCAGGGGGCCGGCTGCGGGGCGGGCGCGCAGGCGCGCGCGCCACGCGCGGGTGGTGGCCAGCAGGGGCACCGCCATGACCTGCGGCCGCGGCCAGGAGGACAGGCGAGGGACGGGAGGCGCGGGGTGAGGGGGCCGGGCCCGTCTTGTAAGGCCTCAGGTGCAAGGCTGATGCGAGACGCGCCATCAGCCCAGGCGTTCTGGACAAGCACGGCCAGGCGCACAGATGATCACCTTGTGGTAGGGCGAATCCTCCTCCCTGCTCATGCCCGTCCCCCCCCCCCACGCACACAAACACACATGCAGGCACGCACACGCATACAATTGTACACACACACACACACACACGCGCGTCCGCACGCCCCTGCAAACCCTGGCATGCACACGCACATGCGCAGTTGATGCACGCACGCACGAGTGCGCTCACACGCGCACGCATGCGCGCACACACACACACACACACGCATGCACACACACCTGGTTGCTCTTGGCGGCCATGTCAGGCAGTGTCACGAAGTCCTGCTCCAAGGAGCCCAGCAGCGCGTCCACCGCCACGCGCCCCGCCATGGTCAAGTCGTTCCCCCTGCCATGACCGCCGCCGCCCCGCGCATCCCGCGCGTCGTCGCCCCTGAGCGCGGTGGGGCGGACGGATTGGATGTGTTGTCGCGTTTCGACGTTCACCGATCCAAATCTTGCGGGGAGACAGGCGGCAGCGCAGTTGATGTGGCACAGGCCCTTGCTGGCCCCCATGGCAGCCCTGCGAGGCCACATGCCCCCTTCACCAAGCTGCTGCACAGAGGGGTTGGTCGGCTCACGTGCGCATGAGGAAAAGGTCCGCCGCAAAGTCCGCCTCGTCCAGCAGAAACGGCAGGAAGCTGCCCAGCAGGTGCTGCCACGCCGTGTGCAGCGGCAGCCCCGGCGCCGAGCCCGCCGCGTAAGCAGCCACGCGCGCCGCCGCCGCCGCTGCTGCGGCTGCGCCGCCGTCGCCGCTGCTAATGCCTGCGCCGCTCGCGCGGCCGCCCGCGCGGGGGGAGGCGCTGCTGCTGCCTGGCAGGTCCTCCGACGCGTCGCTGTAGCCGCTGTGCGCAGACAGGCGAGCCGCGCGCCTGGAGGTGATGGTGGTGGTCCAGAGGGCCACAAGGATTTCAGGGGGTTAGCAGGGGTGATACGGGGGGCAAGAGAGGGCAAACCCGCCGCAGCACAAAGCCCAGGGCATGGCCTAGCGTGCGGAACAGCCTGGCTGTATGAACTGGTAGTGTCAGTTTGCCTCGCAGCTCAAGCCCAGGTCGCCGCGGCCCCAGCCGCGCATGCCTGGCGCACCTGCTGCCCCCCATTGAGCTCCTCTCGCGCGGCCCGCCGAGCGAGAAGTCGCCGCCGCCGCCTGCTGGGACAGAAGAAACAGAGAGACGTAAGCCAGCTTTCAAGGGCAGGCCCAGCAAGGCGCAGCGTCTGCGCAAAATTTTGCAGTAAAGCAAGGCCAACCAGACCGGCAAGCCACAGTGACCAGGCACACTCTGCGACAAGACTCAGCCCGCGTCCCCGTGGCGCACGAGGCGCAGGTATCTCATTGGCGCGCGGCGCCCCGAGGCCGCGCGCCCCGCCCGCGCGGCCACCTGACGCGGCGCCCGCCTGCACCGCCCTCCTGAGCTCGCCGGCGCAGCCGCGCAGCTCCCTGCGGATCAGGCCGTTGACCGCCTGCAGACGCGCGTAGAAGAGGGGTGGTGGCTGTCCCGGGCCGCGCAGCAGCGCATGAGCAGCCGCACACCAGCGGCGGCCAAGCCCACGCAGGGATGGCAGACGGCACACTGGGCCCCGCCTCGCTAGCCGAAAAGCGTCCAGGCGATGAGGCCAACCATGAGCGCCTCAGTCCTTGCCCTCGTCAACGCCCTGGTCAACGCTCTGATCAACGCCCTGGTCAACGCCCTGGTCAACGCCCTGGTCAACGCCCCTCCTGCGGCGGCCCACCTGCGCGTAGTGCAGCTGCAGCTTGCTGACCGCTCCCGGGTCCAGCGCCGCCGCAACAGCCACCAGCTCCCTGTGCCGCGCCAGCGCCTCCCGCAGCCGGCTGCGGCTGGGGGGCGCCAGCCGCGCGCCGCCTGCAAAGAGCGACGCAAGGGAGCGCGGGAGACAGGTATTGCGCGTGCCGCGCCGTCGGAGGGGGGGCGGTGAGCACGCAACGGGGGTTAGGGCGGCTGTGTGCAGCCTTTTAAACGACGGAGCTGAGAGCGCGGTCACATGAGGTTGCGGGCCGGCCGTCCTGGCGCCAACAGGAGCATTCAGCGCTTCAAAAGGGGCCACGCGGCGCCGTGGGTGGCGAGCACGCCATGGTCTCATCTGGTTCTGTCGCCACCCTGCTGTCACTCTCATCAACAAAGCAGGACAGGGGCGTACGCTCCCGCCTCGACACCCCGCCAACTCACGCTCCGCCGCAGTGCCGGCCTGGCCCCACTCGTTCATGACATCACCCGCCAGCTGAGTAATGAGGCCGCACACGTGCTGAGTCACGCGGCCCACGAACCTGCGCGGCGGGCGAGAGGGAGGACGGGAGCAGGTGGGTGACAACATCCGCCGCGCCTCATCGCCGCATGCGTCTTGTTGGCGCGGCACAAGCAGCAGCAGCAGCAGCAGCAGCAGCAGCAGCAGCAGCAGCAGCAGCAGCAGCAGCAGCAGCAGCAGGAGCAGCAGCAGCAGCAGCAAGGCCACAAAACATAGGCCCCTCGTGCGGCGCGCGCCGCACGCGGCACCGAACATCAGGGGCATCAGGGCCGTCCTGTTGGGGCGGCGCCGCCAAGGCCAAGGCCCACCTCTGCGCGACGGCGTCCAGCCGCGCGCGCGCCTCCTTGACGGACCGCATCCCGCACATCAGGGGGTTGATGGCGCCCTGGCCGCCATTGGGGCTGAGGCGCCGCTGCTTCTCGTGGAGGGCGCGCGCGGCCGCCACGACGCCCTTGAGCCTGGGGGGAGGGGTGCGGTGGGAAGTGGCGGGAGAGG